AGATGTCTGGAAGAATCCCCCTGGGAAGCCATCTGGCCCTGGACTCTTGTTTGTTGGGAGATTTTTGATTACTGATTCAATTTCTTTGCTGGTTATAGTCTGTTCAAATTTTCTATTTCCTCCTGTTTCTGTTTTGGTAGTTTATATGTTTCTAGGAATTTATCTATTTCTTCCAGATTGCCCAATTTGTTGGCATATAATTATTCATAATATTATTTTATAATTGTTTGTATTTCTCTGGTGTTGGTTGTGATCTCTCCTCTTTCATTTGTGATTTTATTTATTTGGGTCCTTTCTCTTCTCTTTTTGCTAAGTCTGGGTAGGAGTTTATCAATTTTATTAATTCTTTCAAAGAACCAGCTCTTAGATTCATTGGTCTGTTTTCCTGGGGGGGGTTGTTTGTTTGTTTCTATATCATTTATTTCTGCTCTAATATTTATTATTTTCCTTCTGTTGGCTTTAGGCTTTATTTGCTGTTCTTTCTCCAGCTCCTTTAGGTGTAAGGTTAGGTTGTGTATTTGAGATTTTTCTTGCTTCTTGAGGTAGGCCTGTATTGCTAAGTACTTCCCTCTTATGGTCACCTTTGCTGCATCCCAAAGGTGCTGGACTGTTTTCATTTTCATTTGCCTCCATGTATTTTTTTTTTAATTTCTTCTTTACTGTCTTAGTTAACCCATTCATTCTTTAGTAGGATGTTCTTTAATCTTCATGTATAAGTGGTCTTTCCAATTTTTTTCTTGTGGTTGACTTCAAGTTTCATAGTGTTGTGGTCTGAAAATATGCATGGTATGACCTCAATCTTTTTGTACTAGTTGAGGCCTGATTTGTGACCCAGTATGTGATCTATTCTGGGGAATGTTCCATGTGCATTCAAAAAGAATGTGTATTCAGCTGCTTTGGGATAAAATGTTCTGAATATATCTTATAAGTCCATCTGGTCTAGTGTGTCATTCAAAGCCATTGTTTCCTTGTTGATTTTCTGCTTAGATGATCTGTCCATTGCTGTGAGTGGGGTGTTAAATTTCCCTACTATTATTGTATTATTATCAATAAGTTTATGTTTGTTATTGATTTATATATTTGGGTGTTCCCAAGTTGGGGGCATAGATATTTACAATTGTTAGATTTTTTTTTGGATATACCCCTTTATTATGATTTATTATGATATAGTGCCCGTCTTCATCTCTTGTTACAGTCTTTGGTTTAAAATCTAGTTTGTCTGATATAAGTATGGCTACACTGGTTTTCTTTTGATGTCCATTAACATGATAGATGGTTCTCCATCCCCTCACTTTCTATCTGGAGGTGGCTTTAGGTCTAAAATGATTCTCTTGGGCCTCCTGGGTGCCTCACTTGGTTAAATGTCTGCCTTTAGCTTGGGTCATGATCCCAGGGTCCTGAGATCAAGCCCTGTGTTGGGCTCCCTGTACCGTGGGAGCCTGCTTCTCCCCCACCCCACCCCCTGGCTCATGCTCTCTCTCACTCACTCTGCGCTCTCAAATAAAATCTTTTAAAAAGTAAAATAAAATGATTCTCTTGCTGGCAGCATATAGAGGGGTCTTGGTTTTTTTATTTCTTTTAACATGATGACCCTATGTCTTTTGACTGGAGCATTTAGTCCATTTACATTTAGAGTAATTATTGATAGGAATTTAGTGCCATTATATTACCTATAAAGTAATTGTTTCTGGAGGTTTTCCCTGTTCCTTTCTAGTCTTTGGTGCTTTTGGTCTTTCTTTCCCAGAGTTCCCTTTAATATTTCTTGCAGGGCTGGTTTAGTGGTCATGAACTCTTAGTTTTTGTTTGTCTGGGAAACACTCTCTCTCCTTCTATTGTGAATGACAGCCTTGCTGGATAAAGTATTCTTGGCTGCATATTTTTCCCCTTCAGCACATTGAATAGATCATGTCACTCTCTTCTGGCCTGCTAGATTTCTATGGAGAGATCTGCTGCTAACCTGATTTGTCTTCCCTTGTAGTTTGTCCTCCTTTCCCTTGCTGCTTTCTTTCCTTATCTCTGTGTTTTGCAAATTTTACTATGATATGTCTTGGTGTTGGCTGGCTTTTGTTGATTTTGATGGGAATTTTCTGTCTCTCCTGAGTTTGGATGTCTGCTGCTTTCCCCAGATTAGGAAAGTTTTTAGCTATAATTTACTCAAATAAACCTGCCCCTTTTCTCTCTCTTCTTCTGAGATTCCTATGGCATTAATATTATTACACACTATGGAGTCACTGACTTCTTTAAGTCTACATTCATGATCCAATATTTATCTTTCCATCTTCTTTTCAGCTTCATTATCTTCCATAATTCTATCTTCTCTATCACTTATTCTATCCTCTTTTTTTTTTTTCCTATCCTCTGCTTCTTGTGGTTATTACATCCAGTTGGTTTTGCATCTTGGTTATAGCATTTTTCATTTCAGCCTGACTAGTTTTTAGGTGTTTTACCTCTGCAGTAAGGGTCTCTATGGTTTCTTCTATGCTTCTCTCAAGCCCAGCTAGTATTGTTATGATTGTTGTTTTAAATTCTGGTTCAGGCATATTACTTATATCTATTTTGATTAGCTCCCTGTCTGTAACCTCTTCTTGTTCTTCCTTTTGGGATTAATTCCTCCATCTTGGCATTTTGTCTAGGTCTCTTTCTTTGTGTGTTAGGAAAGCCTGTGCTTGGCTTTATTTCCCCTAGAGTTAAAGCTTTGCAGCACTCTGATCAGGTGACCTGGTGCATGGGGTGGGGGGGAGGTGCTGGCTGATCCCTGCCTTCACCTTGTCTGTGTCCAAGCCATCTGCCTGCCTTGCAGTGCTCCTGTGTTTTATCTCAGGCATGCAGATGGGTTTCAAAACTCCAAATTTTTGGGACCAGGCACAGTGCGGACCTCACTGATCCTCTCAGGGAGGCTCTTGCCAGGCTGTGGTTGGTGCTGGTTCGTTTCACAAAAGCAGTCCCACTACCAGGTAGGGGCTTGGGTTTTATGGTGAAGCATAGCAAAAAGCCAGCATCCAGTTAGCTGCCCTCAGGTGTCTCTACTCATATGCTAATGAATAGGACAGCTCAATGGTGCCTGCTGGCTCTTTTGTCCCTGAGAAGCAGTGTTACCTCTCCCAAATGCACTCCAAGAAGGGGAACTGTCTCTCCCAGCATGATCCAGGGGATCCTCAGAGCACAATATCTGCTCCTGGGCCTCTGCCCTCCTTCTCCACAATAACACTGCTATGCCCACCAGGCTCAAACCTGGCGATGGCACAGACTTCTAAAACTTCAGATTTTCAGCTCTACTGCTTATAAAAACTTGTAATAATTAGCCCCTCTAATTTTCCCCATCAGTGGTTTTGGGTAAGTGTTTTTCTTGTGTAATCCCCGGTGTACTGCTCTCTCTCTCTCTGATAGGGCTCCCTGCCCTCTACAGCACCTATGATTCTTTTCTCCCCCAAGTCATATCACCACACCTCCTACCTTCCACAATGTGGCCACTTTTCTCCCTCTAGTTGTGGAGATGGACTTTCTGGGTGTTCAGAATGATTTGATAATTATCTAGCTGTGTTTAAGGGACAAGGCAAACATAAGGTCCTCGTACTACTCCAGCATCTTACCTCCTCCCTGATAGCTTCCTGTTTTTAGGGAGCAACTTAGAAAATTCCTAAATTGAAGCATACCACTTAGATAAATGTGTTTTTCTTCAGGTGCATGTTAGAATTTAGGCTTATTAATTCTTTTATAATGCAATTTTGAAGTGTGTGGCATCACATTTTTTTACTTTTTGTTCTAAAATTTGACCACTGACTTCTCTAATAATTTCTGCCAATCACCCAATCTTCTTCCCATAATTTTGTCTCAGCCAGCCTAAAATTTGTAAACCAAGTCTTACTATCATCTTAAACTCTTTTGCACTTTTTTATTGTACATACCTGGGGGTAAAAGCAGTCATGTTAACCAAAAGCCCATGAGCTGTCCTCTGTGCCACTTAACACCTGCCAAATCCCTCCAGTCCATCTCTCTTACCTCTCTCAGACCATGCTCACTGTGCCTCCCCTCACTACAGGGCTCTCCCGTAGGAAGTTTCTTCTGTCCAGAATGTTCTCCAACACCCCCCTTTACTTACTTCCTTCTCCTTTACCCCAGCTCAGACTCCACTTTCCTAGAGGAGCCTTCACTAAGACTCTTAACAAGCTTCTACCTCTGCCTCATACTGTAATGCTGCCATCTAGGGACCCTTGAATCATACCTATTTCCTTCTGACATGGCTCATTCGTTTACTTGTCTGTCTCTCTATATATGTTGGAAGTTTTATGAAAGTAGAGATAATGTCTGTGTCTTTGACACCTAATTGTGTCTCAAAAAAATTTAAGGAATACATGAGTGGATGAATGATGAGTGCCTGAATATAGATAGTGATAGAGACCCCAATGAAAATAAGTCGCCACAGAAATGGAGAGCATCTGTCTGGGTTGCTTTGCATGTTTCAAGTCAAATATGCACACCTGATACATGAAGCTCTGACACATCCCCTCTGCCATTATAACTGCTATAAATGGCACAGTTAGTCCTAGATCTCTCTGACTAAAGTGAAGATTAGAGGTAGCACACAGCTGAAAATTTAAGAATCCAGATTGTGGAATAGTGACCACGGTAGAAAAAGTCATACAGAATCATGTTAGTCCTATGAATCTTTAACTGTCTAGCTGCATTCATGCAGATTGACTCTTTCAGGGTCAGGGCCCTCTGTGGCTTAGACACTCAGATCTACAGACATGGAAGTCTGTGTTTGGGGTAGCTGGCTACTAATGGGCACTACCCGGCTCTGTCCAGTATCCTCTCTGGTAATGCTTCATAGCTACTAGGAAAACAGAGTCTGGTTTCACATGGAGACTGGGTCTGCTGCATTGCATCCCCTCATATGGCCTGTAGGTAAGGGATGTCCAGAGTTATCCAAGAGGGGAGAAATTGTTGCTTAGAGTGTGTAATGCTCATGTGTTATGCTCTATCTTTCCCACATAATACAGGATTATAAATACCTGCAACAGAACATTACTAGAGGAGATTCGGGAGCTGGAAAGTAGCAGAGCTCAAGGACTTTATCCTCCTAAAATGTTTAAAAGGAGGTGAGGCTGTTCCCTTTATCCTGACTTTTGTTAAAAAGCTGTTCTCCTCATTCTTTTTTTTTTTTTAAGATCTATTTATTTATTCCAGAGAAAGGGAGAATGAGCAAGTGGGGGAGGGGCAGAGGGACAGACTCCCCAAGCAGACCCCCTCCACCCACTGCCGCTGAGCGTGGAGCCTGATGCTGGGCTCCGTCCTATGACCCATGAGATCATGACCTGAGCTGAAACCAAAAGTTAGATGCTTAACCGACTGAGCCCCCCAGGTGCTCCTGTTCTCCTTGTTCTTCCCACCTTTCCCTCCCAGGTACTTCCATACTTTCCATGATTTCTCCAAGCTTATTAAGCACATGTCAAACAGGCATCTTGAACTTCATATCCCCAGCAGCACAGGCCCCTATTCTGCCACACCAGCTTCCCCTAAGTTCCTCCTTTCAGTGGATGGCAACTTCATTCTTCCAGTTTCTCAGGCCAAAAATCTTGAGGTCACTCTCACATCTTCTTTCTGCTATCCCATACCCATGTCATTAAATCCTATTGTTCCTACCTCAAAGTAAAACTGAGAATTAGATCACTACTAACAATCTGTACCATCTTGCCCTGGTCCAGCCCCTATCATCTTTCTTCTGGATTATTTCAGTAGCCTCTTAACAGATCTCTCTGCTTCTGGCCCTTCCCATAGCAATCAGAGAAAGGACACTTCGGCAGTATAAATTAGACATCGCTCCCCGCTCTCCACCTTCCCATTACCTTCCCTTTCACTCAGAGAAAGATAAGACCCTTTCAGTGGCTTAGAGTGCCCTACACACTGTCCCTTCATACACACCCACACACAACCAGTTTGAGATATCTTCTTATTGTTTTCTTTACCAATTTTTTTTAAATGACTCATTTTGGAAAATCATGTTTCCATTTCACCTCACATGTTTTTAAAGAAAGCTTTGTCCTTTTCACAACCTTCCTTGCTATTATTTTAACAGATGGTGCATCAAGTTTGTATATCCTAACTTTATATTAACTTCTGGTGGTTGGTGGACAGACACCCAAATATCTGTCTTGGGCCAGAGAATCTGCTAATTTCTGCCACTTTTTCCTGCAGATTCTTGCAAAAAGGTTTAGATATGCAGGGTCTGTGTCCTCCCCACTAGATGAAGCTATGGCTACTGGAGGTCAGGGGAGTGCACTGCAGGAGAAAAGGACCAGAGCTTCTTCTAGAATTGCTCCCTTTCTCCCACTGCCTTGGAAGAAGACAACAAATTACATTGTTTACTTTCACAGTTGCTGCCTTGTTCCCACTGGTCCTGATCTGATGGCTTTGAGAGAAGAATAGGCCAAATGCTAGAAAATAATGTGTATTAATATTTTTAATCTCTATACCCAAACTATCTCCAGGAAGAGGTCAGCTCCAATTGTCTGCCATAACCTGGGTGTTCTTCTGAGTGAAAGAGCCATGCTCCTTCTCAGTAACAACAGACTTCTATTTCAGACACTTATATGAAGCCTGGTATGTCCTGAGGTTTTAAGTGGGCTTTATCTGGATCTGGACTATTTATACAGGAATTATAAGGCAAAGAATCAGTCTTTAACTATATTGAATGCCTGCTATATTTGGAGTACTTTGTTAACCATGAAGGAAAGGGTCAAAAGCAACTGATGGTGTGACCTGGGTAAAGAGGCCCAAAGGTACTTTTTAAAATTTAAATTGGAAGCATGGGCAAATCTAAAGTAAATGAATGGATTAATTATCACCCCCATATTTGGCACCTACTGAGTACTCAGCCCTGACAGTACCAAGTGTTGGCAAGGATGAAGAGGAACTATAACTCTTGAACAATCAGTCTGGGCAACTGACCATTTCTAATCAGTTTAAAGAAATGCTTATCCCCATGACCCAACAATTCCATTTCAGGTATTTACCCAAGAGACTTTAAAATATGTGTCCACACATCCAGGTACATGATGCTAAAAGATTCCCAAGTCAGGTACAACCCAAAGAAGACTTCAACAAGATACATTATAATGAAACTGTCAAAAATCAAAGACAAAGAATCTTGAAAGCAACACAATAAAAGAAGCTAATCACACACAAGGGAATTCTATGAACAGATTTCTCAGAACAAACCTTGTAGGTCAAGAGTGGGTAGGATGCTATATTAAAAATGCTACAGGAAAAACAACCACCAACCAAGAATACTGTATCCAGCAAAGCTGGAATTGAAAATTTTCCAGACAAACAAAAGGTAAAGAAGTTCATCACCACTGACCTGCCCTTACAAGAAATGTTAAAGGGACTTCTTTAAACTGAAATGAAAGGATGCTAATCAGTAACAGAAAAACATGAAAGTATAAATTTCATTGGTAAAGGTAAATTATAGTAAAGTTCAGAATCTAATATTGTAAAGGTGATGGATAAATCACTTATAAAGCTAATATGAAGCTTAAAAGACAAAAGTAGTAAAAATAACTATAGTTGCAATCATTTGTTAAGATACACAAGATAAAAAATATAAATTGTGACATCAAAAACAGAGTGGTGAGGAGGGTAAAAATTCCAACCTTTAGATTGCATTTGAACTTTAGTTGTTATCAACTTAAAATAGACCTAAAATATAATTTTATGTAAGTTTCATGGTAACCACAGAGCAAAAACCTATAGTAAATACACACAAAAAATAAGTAAAGAGAAAGGACTCTAAACATACCACCGCAGAAAATCATCAAATCATAAAGAGAAGAAATGAAGGAACAAAGCAATTACTAAACAGCCAGGAAACAATGAACAAAATGGCAATAAGTATACACAGGCATATCTTGTTTTATTGTGCTTTTCCTTACGGTACTTCACAGATACTGCTTTCTTTTTTTCCCTTTTCTTTTCTTTCTACAAATTGAAGGTTTGTGGTATACCATGTCCACAAATCTGTTGGTGCCATTTTTCCAACATTTGCTCACTTCATGTCTCTGTCACATTTTGGTAATTTGCACAATATTGCAAACTTCTTCCTTATTATTTTTTATGGTGATCTGTGAAGAGTGATTGTGACATGCTGAAAGTTCAGGTGGTGGCAGGCATACATTAACAATAAATTATTTTTAATTAAGGTATGTACATTGTTTTTAGGCATAATGCAATGATACACTTAAGAGACTACAGTATAGTGGAAACATAACTTTTATATGCACTGGGAAAGCAAAAAATCCACTTGACTCGATTTACTGCAATATTAGCCATATTGTGATAGTCTGAAACCAAGCCTGCAGTATTACTGAGGTATGCCTATGCTGATGAGTAATTTCTTTAAATGTGAATAGATTAAACTATCCAATTAAAAGACAGAGTGGCTAAATGGATTAAAAAACAAAACCCATCTATATGTTGCCTACAGGAGACTCACTTCAGATGTAAGGACATGCAGAGAATGAAGGTAAAGGAATGGAAAATGATATTCTATGCAAATGGAAACCAAAAGAAATCTAGGGTAGCTATACTTATATCAGACAAAGTAGACTTTAAAATAAAAACAAGAGAGAAAGAAAGTCATTACATAATGATAAACGGGTCAGTCCAATAAGAGGATATGACATTTGTAAATATTTATGCACCCAACATAAGAGTACTACATGTATAAAGCAAATATTAACAGACCCAAAAGGAGAAATAAACAGCAATAAAATAAGAGTAAGGGACTTTAATATCCTACTTTTTTTTTTTAAAGATTTTATTTATTTACTTGAGAGAGAGAATGAGAGAGAGAGAGAGAGAGAGAGAGAGCGCACATGAGAGGGGGGCGGGACAGAGGGAGAAACAGACTCCCTGCTGAGCAGGGAGCCCAATGCAGGACTCCATCCCAGGACTCCAGGATCATGCCCTGAGCTGAAGGCAGTCGCTTAACCAACTGAGCCACCCAGGTGCCCAATATCCTACTTTCATCAATGGATAGATCTTCTAGATAGAAAATTAATAAGGAATACTGTCCTTAAATGCTTCATTAGACAATTGGCTTAACAGATACATGCAGAACATTCCAACCCAAAGCAAGAGAATATACATTCTTCTCAAGAGCACATGGAACAATCTCCAAGATAGATCATACATTAAGCCCCAAAACGAGTCTTAGTAAATTTAAGAAGACTGAAATAATATCAAGCATCTTTTCTAACCACAATGGTATGAAACTGGAAATCAATTACAAGAAGAAAACTGGAAAATTCACAATGTGTGGAGATTAAACAACATACTACTGAACAACCAATGGATCAAAAAAGAAACTGAAAAAGAAATAAAAATACATCTGGAGACAAATGAAAATGGGAGGGCAACAATGGGGTGCAGCAAAAGCAGCTCTATGGAGGGAAGTTCATTACAATAAATGCCAACATTAAGATACAAAAGACATCTCAAATAAAAAACCTAATCTTACATTTTAAGGAACTAGGAAAAGAAGAACTAAGCCTCAAGTTAGCAGAAGGAAGGAAATAACTAAGATCAGAGCAGAAATAAATGAAATAGAGACGAAAACACAGTAGAAAATATCAATTAACAGCTGTGGTTTTTCAAAAAATAGACAAAGTAGACAAACTTTTGGTTAGACTCATGAAGAAAAAAAGAGGACTCAAATCAGAAACAAAAGAGGAGACATTACAGCTGATAACACAGACATACAAAGGATCATAAAGCACTACTACAGAACCAAAGCAATCTTGAAGAAGAACAAAGCTGGAGGCATCACACTTTCTGATTTCAAACTATATTACAAAGCTATTCTATTACATTTTACTATAAAGCTAATATATATTGCTGTAGCAATCCAAACAGTATGGTACTGGTATAAAAAACAGATCTGGGAGATTGATACATAGGTAAATAGGTCTGTTAAAATTCATCACACTGTACTTTTAAGATCTATGCATTTTATCACATGCAAAATGAACCTCGGTAATAAGAAACCAAACCAAAAATATAAACAGTATAAATTGTACAAAAAGAAAATTCACATAACAAAGTGCTAGCCTCCCAAAAAGATAAATTGTTTCCAGAAATCAGCAAGACCAAACACCCAAGCAATAGAAAAATAGGCAAAGTATAAACACACAGTTCACGGAAAAGGAAATACTAAAGATTCTTAAACATATGAAAATATTCTCAACTTTATTCATAGTAAGAAATGAAAATGCTAAGCACACAGGCAGGATATTTTTCATCTATCATTGTTGGCCACCCTTGGCTGGTGAAAATATGGGAAAGGAAAGAATTATGGTAGTTAATTTGGCAATATCTATCAGAAATACAATTGCGTATGGCCTTTGAGTCAGTAATTCCATTTCTGGGAATGTACCATCCCCTCTCATCCCCCCAAAACTCACATATGTCCCAGTGTTAGGGACTGCAGCAGTATTTGGAACTGCCAACGTTTAGGAACAACCTGACTTGTGTGGTACATTCACGCACTCCAGTACTCTCTAGCTGTGAAAAGCAGTCAGGAAGCTCTCTGTGTACTGAGGTGCAAATGATTCCAGGATATGTTAACAGAAAAAATCAGATGTTGAACCCTTTGTACAATATGCAACCTTTAGTGCAAAAGGGCAGGAATAATAATATGCGAGCACTTTTTCTTATAAAGCACCTCTGCAAAATTAGCTAAGAAACCACTATGAGTGATTACCGGTAAAGAACAGAGGTGAGGAACAAGGAAGTTGGGAAAAGGAAGTCGAATGTTTATTCTCCATCTTTACATATTTTCTCTTTAAATTTTTAACCATGTAAGTGATTTATCTGTGAAAAATTTAACAGAAAAAGAGGAAGAGGGAGAGAGGGAGAAAAAAGGAGGGAATGCAAATGAGTAAATGGGTTCTGGAAAGCCCAGAGCCAAATGTTCTTCAGCTCCTGGATATACAAGCAAAAGTAAAATCCTAATCTGAGTCTTTCAAACGCTTTGGAAAACCTCAACCTTTTTTTTTTTTTTATGATTAACTTTTTTTTTATTCTGGTTCAGAACATTAGCAATGGGTCACTTTCATTCCGGGGAGCAATGGAGAGAGGGAAGTCAGTAGTCAGTTATTCCCAAGGCCACACCCCTTGTGTAATAACCTTTGAGCCGCACCAACTCAGGAACTGTTCCTTCAGGCAGTCCTTAGAAAACGTCCTCTGAGCCACCAAAGGGAAGCCTTCCCACAGGAGGGCATGGTATAGGGGTACAGTTGTGGTTGTTGAAAGCAACTGCAGTTTGTCACACCAGCTGTGAGCCCCTCAGAACTCTGGAAATACCAGGATACATGGCGAATCCCAAAACAGCAAAAGTCTCCTATAGCCTGGACGTGGATGGAACTGGAGGGTGTTATGCTGAGTGAAATAAGTCAATCAGAGAAAGACATGTATCACATGACCTCACTGATATGAGGAATTCTTAATCTCAGGAAACAAACTGAGTGTTACTGGAGTGGTTGGGGGTGGGAGGGATGGGATGGCTGGGTGATAGACATTGGGGAGGGTATGTGCTACGGTGAGCGCTGTGAATTGTGCAAGACTGTTGAATCACAGATCTGTACTTCTGAAACAAATAACTCAACATATTTTAAGAAAAAAGAAAAAGAAGAAGATAACAGGAGAGGAAGAAAAGGGGAGTATGTCAGAGGGGGAGACGAACCATGAGAGATGATGGACTCTGAAAAACAAACTGAGGGTTCTAGAGGGGAGGGGGGGAGGGGGATGGGTTATCCTGGTGATGGGTATTGAGGAGGGCACGTTCTGCATGGAGCACTGGGTGTTATGAACAAACAATGAATCATGGAACACTGCACCAAAGACTAATGATGTAATATATGGTGATTAACATAACAATAAAAAAATTTAAAAAAAAAGTCTCCTATAGCCTGGTGACATCTTAGAAGTGAGAAAACAGAGCAGGTTAGGCTGCATGGGTTTTTGTTTTGTTTTAACCCTATTTTCAGGCTTATAGAGAGGAAAAAAAGAAGAAACAACCATGGACTTCCCTAATTATGCTGCTGTGTTTACCCACAATGGCCCCACACTCTTTGAAATTTAGAAAGTATTGAACTTGGGGCGTCCAGGGTGGTCCCCTTGGGGTTTAGAGAAGGTGTCTCTTGTGCTTAGAGCTGACCCTTCCTGATGCACGGTATTCAGAGTCTTGAACCAGGAAATTGAGACAAAGATTTTTAAAATACACACCATAAAATCTCTAAGGTGCTCTGGGAGGCCAGAGGACTGACAGGACATGCATTGTTCCATTCAGCTCCTGGGGAGGGACAGTTAGGAGGGCCGTATGTAAGAAATGTTCACAAGCAAAACCCCTATTTTAGAAGAAGCACCTTGTTGAGTATCTGGATAATATCAATTTTATTTTAAATATACAAACAGTCCCTAAAACATGAAGAAGACTTTTTTTCTTTTACCTTGCAACTTCTTTTTTGTCCCAATAAATTTCTTTGAAATCTGTTCCAATGAACTAAAGTGAGGCTATGATTGATTTATTCACAGAGTGGAGGCAACAAAACTCAGAATGTCCGTAGCCAGCACACTGCACAAGATTGTCTTCCCAAATGAATCTTTTGATCAAAGCATCCCACGTAAGTAACATGCTGTAAAGTAGGCCACAAACTGAGACTCCACCTACTGACATGAAAGATGAGCAATTCAATGTCAGGTGCTTCTTGAGGAGATTAGGCCAAGTGAAATGAGCCAGACACAAAAAGACAAGGACTCTACGACTCCACTGATATGAGGTACTTAGTCAAATTCATAGCGACAGAAAGGAGAATGGGGGTTTCCAGGGGGTGGAGGTGGGGGGTGATGGGAGAATGGGCACTTGGTGTTTAATGGGTATGGAGTTTCAGTTTGGGAAGATGGAGAGGTCTGCAGATGGATGCTGGTAATGGTTCCACAGCACAGTGAATGTACTTAATGTCCCTGAACTGTACACTTAAACACCATATTTTATGTTACATGTATTTTACCACAATTTTTTTTAAAAGGAAACTACCTGTGGTATTTTATATATATTTTTTAAAAGGTAAGGTAGTTCTCATAGGGCAGGAAGGCTCACCTGGATTCATCAAATTAATGTTCTTGGCCTAAGGCAAGTGCAGTTTCAAAGACCGCAATTCCTGGTCAACCATTCCTGAATGATAACCTCCTTAAATCTAACATCCTCACGTTTTCAAGATCCTCTTACAGACTCCCAACATGCCATTTAAGATGGAAAAGTGGTATTTGGCTCCAAATAATTTTTACCCTTAGAAAACTTGTGTACACTTTTTGGGGGTATGATGTTAACATAGCCCATGTTGGACATGGAAAACCTTTAAAAGTTATTTCATTTTCCTGTCCTTTAATAAGAAATGCATCCGAGAAGTGCCTAGATGAAAGATTTAGGTCCTATGTGACTCATGTCTGATAATGTGAGTGCTGATTACTATCCTGAGAAAGGAAATGAGTCAAACATAAAGGTAGTACAAACAAAGAAACGTGGGATATTTGCATGGAATGAGAGCTAACTGTCCCTCTTTTCTGACCAAGGTATTCACTGAAAGTTGTAGGATTTTAAAATTCTAGATTCTTTTATTGTCTTTTTTTTCATATCTCTGAGATTTGTGTGTCTCTGGATTGATCGCTAGTTCTCCTTTGCACACACACACAGTTACTTCTTCCTGTCCTGTGCCCAGCACTTTGGTTTTCCCCCTCTCCCTAGATATATTTAAGCAGAAGCAGCGGAAAGGTAACCAAAGGTAAAAAAAATGAACCAGGACAAGAAAATAAAAAGTACAACAGATGTCTTAAGGATTTGGATTAACATCTCTCCGATCTTCTTTCCCAAATGATGACCTTGATTTCTACATCCCAGAGAAAAATGGGCCAAAAATGAACTTTCAGTCACTCTCTCCACCACCTCACCTGTCAGCTACTTCCACCCACACACTCTGTCTTCCCACTTATTTCCACAGACTGGCTCTTGTGCCAGTGAGTGGCCACTGACTCCATTTGCTCTTGTGCACCCGAGAATCTCATTCCCATACTTTCTTTGTCTCCTAGGTCACCACTTTTTCACTCTCCGCTACTAGATCATTCTCACCAGCACACAAAAGTAGAACTTTCTCTGGACCGTCCATTACCCATTAGAATGTGCTTCATTTCATTGAACTCCTTTGCAGGAACAGTTCTTGGTCAAATGGTCTGTATCCATTTTCTCCAAATCCCCTTCTTTCATTCTCCCTTAAACTCACTCCCCATCAAGCCTTCACTCCTACCACCTAACTGACATTTCTCCAGTCAAAGCCACCAATGATGTCCAAAACTGAGCCCCTGGTCTCCTCTCCCACCAAGCCTGCTCCACCTACAGCCTTCACTTGAAGACAACTGCATGCTTTCAGTTGCTCAAGCCAAAATCCTTGCAGTCCTTCCAATTCCTCTAACATATTAGATGGCTCTGCCATCACATTATATTCAGAGACTGACCACTTCTCACTCAAACCCCTGTTGGCACCCTGCTTTGGACCACCACCACCACCACCTGTCTGAATTTCTGCAACAATCTCTTAACAAGTCTCCTGCTTCTACCCTTGACTCTTGTACGGCAGCCAAAGTGATGCATTTAAGATCATGTCAGCACAAGCATATCAATTTTCTGCTCAAAATTCTTCAACAGCTATCTATCACATTCAATATAAAAGCCTTACAATGGCCAAAAAAGACTTATCTGGACCCTGTTACTTTCCTGATGTCATCTAATCTTCTTCCTCCTTCATTCCACTCCAACCTCTGTGCACTTCTTATATCAGGAATGCTCCTGCCCCGGGGCCTTTGCACTGGATGACACTTCAGCCTAGAAAGCAAATCTTTCATATATCTGTGCTGCTCAATCTCTCACTTCCTTCAAGTCTTTGCCCAAATATTACCTTCTCAATGAACCCTACCTTGACCACTCTACAGCTACACAACCCCACCCCTGATTTCAGTTTTTTCTTTTGTTCATAGCTCTTTAGTATACTCTTGGGTACTATGATTAACTCTTTGTTTTGTGCTTATTATCTTCATATGCTTACATAATTCATCTTTATTGCTAGAATGTAAGGTCTGTAAGAACAAGGATTTTTGCTTTGCTAATTTATTCCAAGAACACATGTACATAGTGGACACTCAGTACAAATCTTATGGAATGAACTAATTGACTAATGAAGTGTCCAGGCAGAATTATGTATATATTAACAAATAGCCATTTCTTCTTCCAACTGTCCAACGTCAACCATTGGAAATGGACAAAATGGAACCAATATTTATTGAGCACATACCGTGATCTTGGCCACTGTTAAAACACTGGGTCTTTATTGCACTAAATATCTGAAGCCACTATGTAGAGACAGTTATTAAATATTTGTTGAACAACAAGTTAACTGAATGAATCCTCATTTTGCAGGGAAGGAAATGGTTCAGCAAATTTCATCACTTGCCTTAGATTATATAATTAGAAACGGGTGGAAGACAGACTGGAACTTCAGTATGTCACATTCCAAAGTGCCACATAGTTCAGCTCCATGGGAATTCGGTTGATACACGGGAATCCGATGGTCAACTGCATCCCACCTTTGCCTCTTGACTTGCTATGCGACTCTAGGCATGTCACTTATCATCTCTGAGCTGCACTATCTCTATCTTTTTGGTACTTCATGCTATTGGGGTCACTGTAGATAATATGGAGTGTTAAAGGACATATGTAACTGGATTCAAATAGAGGGATAAGTGCTTTATGCAGGAATCACATGGTCCTGTAACCACTACCAAACATTTCGTTAATATATGAGGATATGAATGACTTTAAAATATCATTGAATATATATGAGAAATAGAAAAGTATATTTCAGTTACTTTAAAAATATTTTTAAAATATTGTATAGAAATTATTTTCATGACTCACTTTTTAAAAACGTTAAAATAGAGAATACTATTGGAGGGTTAGAAATCGTATAGGATTACAAGAGATTCTAAGGTGTGTTCTCTATGACATTATCTTTTGTTGCTGGAGGTGAAGTGCCTCAGCCAGTTTGGAGGTTTTGGGGTCCTGTATGTTTTTCTGCATTTCACCACAATGTTAACTTGAATTTGTAAAGTGCTCTGAGCTCCTCAAATAAGAAATAGACAGGGAGGTTCTCTGTTAATTGCAACTAACAACTCTTTCTTGAGCCAGAAAATTCTGACTTTAAGATGTTATCAGACTCCCAAATTTATAATGAAGTGAATTAAATGAGACAGTTATGCCAAAATAATGAGAAATGACATGGTTGATTCTGAAATCTGCTAAACGTTTTACCAGGTTGAAGAAAAAAAATGACTTGGAAATTCCTTCATCCTTCACCTCTACCCCCCTCCCCTTACCTCCCTTGCCTCTGTCCCCCATCTTCCCAGATTCTGGCTGCAGCTGAGCATTTAGGAAGCAGATGCACTGGGAAACCAGCCCGGGGAAGTTCAGGAGTTGGGTCCATGGACGGCTTTCCCCAGGCCCCCATCATTACTTTGTGGCTGTCAGGACTTCCTGAAAGATGAATGAAAGTGGGAAAGGCTAAGAACTGGAAGCTTCCCCTTAGCTCCCCATTTGGATGCAAATGGCAGCTAAATGTTCATCAGGCAGAAACGGGTGACCTGATGGTGTATCTTTGTCAGGCTGAGGGGTGTAGGCTGGACAGGTGGAGGGTCATGGTCCAGGTTGTCCCTCTTCAGCTCTCACTCCTCCCTGAGAACACTGCAGATAGGAAAACCAGCCTAGATTTCCAAAAAGATACCATTTATCTCTGAGTAGCAGTAGAATCCTGGTTTTCTGAGGCCAGATCTTTATACAATTTGGGGGACCTTTTTAGGAAAATTAGGTTTAAATGCAAATATTTAGATGAGTAAAAAAATAAAATCACAACAAATTACTAGTGTACAAAAGAAAATTCTAAAACATTACCCACCCTTGAATGGGGGTAATGTGGCTGAAACTTCATCAGCTCACAAAAGATCTTCTCTGTGTACATGTCTTATAAGAACTAAGGAGAAATATTTTTTCAGGCCATATCTGAAATACTGTTTTCAGACCCACCTGCTCCCTGGAGGTTAAGGCAAGAATTAAAAACAGAGGGGGGAAAAAAAAGGTTTTATGTCTCCATTTGAGTGGGGAAGAGACAATTTAAAATGCTAACACATCTTCCATTTAAAAAGAAGGTGGGGGGCAGTAAATAAAGAGGGCGGGGCTATGTTTTATTTGTTCATTTACAGCCCTCCTTGTTTTTATGATTAGAACATTTAATATAAAAATGAAGGGACAGCTGTTTTTCCACCTTTGGTTGTTTGCGTGGCTGACATGAAGTGGGCCCACTCTCTAAAAGAGGCGGTCTCTGAATGCTCAGAAATCCTGCCTCTGGGTTTTCCTGCCACACCTGCAGGCCCTGTCCTGCAGGATTATGTTCTTCATAGCCACTCAGAGCATCCATGGATACACATGAGAAACATTTGGGTGGTTCTAAAAAATGCCAAAGTTTCACCTTGAGATTATGATCTACTTCCTCCAAGTGGGAAGGAAAGAGATTGAAGGACATCGTGAGGGGTTGAAAGCTATTGATACCAGCATCTACCCATAGGTTGTGGTTCAATTGGCCTAAACAGTGGTTCTCCATGCCTTGTATTTAGGCCAGCAGCAGGCGCATCAGCCGGGAAGTTATTAGAAATGTCAGTTCTTGATACCCTATGGCAGATTTACTAAGCCAGAAATTCTGGAGGTGGGACCAGTGGGCGCCAAGTGAATTCTGGTGCCCACTGAAGTGTGAGAACCACCGGTCCAGTGTTGGTACCGGATCCTGGGATTTTACCAGGTTTCAGGGGATGCTACTGAGGAGAGAAGTCTGGGACCACTTGTCTTTCCTTCCACACAGAAGCATTGCAGTAAATCCAATATAATCAGTATATACCACATAGATAGAAGTTACTTTCCTTCTTTCAGTTGCGGCCCCAGAAATGGGTATGTTTAAAGGGTTCCCCTAAGTCGTTCTTTAATATCGCCAAACATGCAAGGTGTTCCATTACCATTCTCTCAACATACCTCACCACTTTCCCCTACCTCTGTCACTGGCCTGGCTAATGTGGCCAATGCGTCTCAGTTGGATAGGAATCTTGCTTTCAGTCAGCAGAATGCTCCCTGTACGTCAGTGCTCCTAACAGATTCCCCTGTCCTTTATTTACTCTTTCAGATGGGTACGCATTTTCTCAAGTCGAACAAGCTGTGATTACTCAGGAAGAACTAGTCCGTTCTTATAACACTACTAAAAGCAAAAGCAGTAAGATAGGTATGGACTCTTCTGACTCCAGATAGGAGTGAGGTTTGGACGACATCCTGTGTTCTCATGTCCTTCCCCAAGGCTGCAGAACATGCCAACACCCCCGAACACTCATTTCTTGTGGCTCTGGGCAGACAGTTTGTTATTTATGTATCAATTGAGTCAATCCTTGGATATAAATAATGGGGGAAGCCTATTTTTCTTAATTTGTCTTTAATGTTTTACCTAACCTGTTTACTTTTCTGTTGTTTTGAGATAATTTATCAGTTCAGTCTAAAGTATAAAATTAAAAACATTTTGTTTCACCAAAATTTAAGCTTTGGTACAAGTTGTTTTGGGAGAAAAGGTAAAGAAGGTCATGATGCATAACAAGCCTATCTTAGTTGAAAAGGAGTCACACAGAAACTTTGTATTTTGAAAACTCACAGATTAAGGCGGGCATATAAAGGCAACATATAAAATATTTTTCTAAGTAGGCTGTCCTGTCACTTTGAATCATACCTTATTTGTAGGAAATTTGCACAGTATTCTTGATTTTTTAATGAATTCACATAATAGGTGTAATATACTATAATCTCAGGTTTCAAAATCAGTGTGCAAAAATCAACATATCTCCTTATTTTCTGTACATTGATTTAATCTCCATTCTGATTCCCCCATGCATTAGGACTTAGTGGGAAATTCAGCCACAATCATTCTTGGGACTGTGCTTTAGGCTTATACTAACTTCCCTGGGTTTCACACAATGCATAGCATTGGGGCACCATCTGTTCTTCTGTTATCTTCCCACACAGGTCACCACTAAAACAAATGATTTATTTTGGTCACTTTATGACACTTCTGTACCAGGTAGGGGAAACTGGAAACTCTAGGGAGGTTGGAAATCCCCATGGCTATTAATGATTCTGGGTCACTAATTCTGATGTATGGGAGGGTTTTTCCCCATACATACAAAGAATTCTCAGACACCAGCTGGGTGCCCTACAATTCAACTCAATTCTGACACTATCTACCTGAAGATAGCATCAGACCCCACAGGTTAAGGACTCAGTCCCACAAGACTGCCCCCCATCCCCACATACACAGTTCAGATGCCAATCCTAGGCCCAGATTGTCACCTGTGCTTCTGACCAACTGATTATAAGTCAAAAGTTCCCATGACACCCTCCTTGGATTCAATTAATTAGCTCGAGCAGCTCACAGAACTCTGGAAACCCATTTACTCATTAAATTACCAATTTATTACAAAGGATATTAAATAATATGAAAGAATATGATTCAACAGCCAGATGAAGAGATACACAGGGCAAGGTCCCAAACAAAGCAGCTTCTGTCCCAGTGGAGTTTGGGCCCAGCATGGTAACACATGGAAACATTCTGGTTCACCAACACAGCTTTCTAAAACCCTTCCTTTTGGTTGGTTATGGAGGCTTCATTACATAGGCATGGCTGATGAAATCTTTGGCTGTTGGTGACTGATTCAACTCCACTTCTTCACCCTCCCCAGAAAGGGGTGGGTGGGGCTCAAAGTGCCAACCCTCTATTTATTGGTGGTTCCCTTGGTAACCAGGTCCCATCCTAAGTTATTTTTCCTAAAAGTTACCTCATTAACATAAATCCAATTGGGGTAGAAAGGGACTTAATAGGAATAAAAATATAGCATTTCACCTTTATGTGTCTGAAGCATTTTCAGGTACTGAAGACAAGAAACCAAATATTATAACAAAAGATGTTCTCATTGCTCTTATCACCCAGGGAATTCCAAGGGTTTTTGTTGCTGTGAGCCTGGAACCATGGACAAAAACCAAACATATATGAGAAGTATTTTGGTCATTCAGATGACCTTCTTGACCAAATATATATTTCTTATAAATCACAATATTGTACCTGTGGTCTAACATTGCCAGGAAAGCCATTCCTCTCCTGGAACACATCATCATCCCAGTGTACAGTGAGGGGATGAGGAGATAGTTTTTTAATTCCTTCTGTAGTCTGAAGTCCCCTTTCTTACACCCATTCTACTTAGTTTTTAAAAGCAAAAGTAAGAATTCTTGAAGACAGAATCCTCTATTTTGTCCTTTTTTTAAAAAAAAGATTTTATTTATTTGACAGAGAGAGACACAGCGAGAGAGGGAACACAAGCGGGGGTGGGAAAGGGAGAAGCAGGCTTTCCGTGAAGCAGGGAGCCTGATGCAGGGCTTGATCCCAGGACCCTGGGATCATGACCTGAGCCGAAGGCAGATGCTTAATGATTGAGTCACCCAGGCGCCCCTATTTTCTGTCCTTCTATCCAAATGACTCCTCTGAGGAAATAACCCCAAAAGCCTGATAACTGTTTGGAGATAAAGCAACGAGAAAAACATGGGGGAAGAAAAACCTAATCAATTAAGATAAAAATGTAATGATCCAAACGGGCACATGCACCCCAAAGTTTATAGCAGCAATGGCCACAATAGCCAAATTATGGAAAGAGTTGAAATCTCCATTGACAGATGAATGGATAAAGAAGATGTAGTGTATATATATACAATGGAATATTACTCAGCCATCAGAAAGGATGAATACTTATCATTTACATCCATGTGGATAGAACTGGAGGGTATTATGCTGAGCGAAATAAGTCAAGCAGAGAAAGACAATTATCATATGGTTTCATTAATCGGTGGAATATAAGAAACAGTACAGAGGATCATAGGGGAAGGGAGGGAAAACTGAATGGGAAGTCATCAGAGAGGGATACAACCCATGAGAGACTCTTAACTATAGGATACAAACTGAGGGTTGCTGGAGGGGAAGTGGGTGGAGGGTGGGGTGGGCATTAGGAGGGCACATGATGTTATGAGCACTGGGTGTTATATACAACTGATCAATTATTGAACACTACATCTGAAACTAATGATGTACTCTGTTGGTTAATTGAATTTAATTAAAAAAAGAATGCAAGCCTAAAAAAAAAAAAAAAATCCCCAAAAATGTATCCATGAATGGAAAAACAAAATGTGGTATGTCCACACAATGGAGTATTATCTGACCATAACAAGTAATTAAATACTGATATATGCACAACATGGATGAACCTTAAAAACTATGCTAAGTTAAAAAAAAAAAAAAGCCAGTCATTAAAGGCCACATATAATATGATTTCATTGGGGAAGTTCATAAGCAAAACTATAGATATATAAAGATTAGTAGTTGCTTAGGGTTGGTGGGAAGATGAAGGGCAAAGGTTTAATATGTAAAGGGTACAGGGCTTCTTTTTGAGGTGATGAACATATTCTAAATTTGACTGCATTAATAGTTGCACATATTTGTGAATATATTTAAAAAAACATTGAGTTGTGTACTTTAAATGGATGAATTGGTGACTTAAATCTCAATAAAGCTATTTTCAAAAATTTTCCAGGTGAATTCTACTTCTAATCATAATGTACTAGACTTGCCCTCCTGCTTAAAACTATTAGAAAACTGGAAAAATATATGAAAAAAATATTTTCAGATATTGAACAAAGGGCAGCATAGGAATATAATCCCCAAGAGAAAAGAATTAAAGTAAGTCATACTATTTCCCAGGCTTTCTTCCTAGAGGCACTTTCCAGGCCATGGTGCAGAAAAGTAGCACCCAAGCAAAGCAGTCTTGTCAGTGAACTGGGGAGACTAAGCTAAAAGTTTGGGGAGGCTGAGGCAGCTGATATTTGCTGGGTATAGTACCATTGAGAAAGGAGCTGTACATAGAGTTCTAGACATTTATTTAGGGATATTCTAGAGTAAATAGCTAGATGTTAACCTACATATATGTGGAATGAAACTCAATGAAGTTGGGCAAATCCAACTACCAGAGACATGTAAGCTGGACAATTCACAGAACTTTCACAGGATACAATATTTAACCAAATAGGGTGGAAAGGGTTTGATGAATACTTGAGATATTCCATAGAGACCCCAAAAGACCCATACCTTAATAGTATGGCTAAGCTAGCACTATAGCAAGAACTACTCTAGACTCATGATCTTATTTTAGCAAAGCTTATTTTAGCAAAGCTTGAAAAGAAGCATCCAAAGCATCAAGGGGATCCATAGTTAATTTAGCTGCCTGTAGGAAAAAAACAAGCCCTCTAACAGAAGAAAACAAATCCAGACACTTCAGTGTAATAATAATGTCCAACATCTAGTAAAAAAATACTCAGAGATTCAAAGCAGCAAAACTGAATCCATAAGCAAAATAAAAGTCAATGGAACAATCCAGAACTGACAGAGATGATGGAATTAACAGACAAGAACTTTAAAAACTTTAAAACAATTATTACAAATATGTTTAATGAGTTAAGGACAACATGAACACATTGAGGAAAAAAATGAAAACCATAAACAAAGAAAGAAATGAAACTTCTAGACCTGAAAAAACTATGCTAAATGAAAATTTTATTGAATAAGTTTAGCATATTGGACACTGCAGAATAAAAAATAACCTTGAACATAGCGGTAGAAACAATCCAAACTGAAACACAAAGAAAAAGGCTGAACAAAAACTGAAAAGCACCAATTACCTGTGAGACAAGATCAAGCAGTTTTATATGCATTCTTTTGAGTTACAGATAGAGAAAGTAATAGAAAAAAAAATCACTGAAGAAACAAAGGCAGAACATTTTCCAAGAATTATCTGAGAAGCATAGCCAACCCAGAGTAGGCTAACCCCCCCCCCCCCCCACCGGCACAACACACACACAGCATAATCAATTTGCTGAAAATCAAGGATCAGGAAACAAATCTTAAAATTAGCCAGAAGGTAAACACACACACACACACACACACACACACACACACACACACACAAAATGATGTTAAGAAAAAGCAAATTGAAAATGACCACTAATTTCTCAGAAAAGACAAAAGGAAATTTGCTGAAAGAAAAATATTGTCAACCTGAAGTCTATAGCTAATGAAAATATCCTCCAAGATGAAAGGGGAAGATAAGGCATTTTTCAGACAAATATTGCAACAGTTTACCACTAATAATCCTGAACTAAAAGAAGATATTTAAAGGACGTTGTTTAGGTGGAAAGAACATGATAAGAGATGGAAAATCTGGTCTACAAAAATTTCAAAAATGGTAATTCTTGGAGAAATATAAAAGAACTTTATTTTCTAATTAAAAAATGTTTCTATTAATGCAAAATTAGTAAC